GGAGGGAGAGAGGGAGGGAGGGAAGACCATAAATAAACTTACAATAGACTTGAGACGCAGGGCTTGGACCTAACTTGGTGCTAAGGCCATGTGCAGCGCACAGGTGGGGACCTGGGCTCCATTTGGCCCCAGAACTTTTATCTTTGTTTTTTTTTTTTTAATTTTGGCAGTCCTAGGGCTTGAACTCAGAACCTGGGTGCTGTCCCTGAGCTTTTGTGCTCAAGGCTGGCGCTCTACCACTTGAGCCACAGCACCACTTCTGGCTTTTTTTTGCTGGCTCATGGGAGATCAGAGTCTCATGGACTTTCCTGCCCGGGGCTGGCTTCGAACGACGATCCTCACATCTCAGCCTCCCGAGTAGCTGGGATGAGAGGCGGGAGCCAGCAGTGCCAGCTGGCTCGGGAATAAAACCTTTTTCTTTCGCGCAAGCATTCGGCAGGAGCTGAAGTTGGCAATGTGGGAGCTGGCCTGGCTTGGATGAGGGGAGGGGTGAGGAGGGAATGGCTGCGTGGACGGCAGGGGTGAGGAGGGGGGGCTCGGGCTGAGGAAGCAGGAGAGGGAAGGGGAGATGCCAACCCTGAGAAGCCAGCCCCGCCCAATGCACGGCTCCTGGCCCCACCCCTCGCCCTCCTCCCTCTCCCGGCCCGGCCAGGCCTTACCCGGAGGGCAGTGTGCATGACAGCCCTCCACACACTGCACAGGGCAGGCCAGGGGTTCAGGGTGCTGGCAGGTGATGGGGCAGGCCGGCGCGCAGCTGTTGTACCGCCATTCACACTCGTAGCCGTTCTCGCGAGCGTTCCTGTCTTCGCAGCTCTGAGCTGGGGAGGGGCAGGCAGAGGAAGAGTGGGGACCATGAGGTTATCATGGAGGCTCTGGAGGGGGTGGGCAGGGGCCGGAGGCAAAGGTCGGAGGAGGAGGCAGCGGTGGAGACCTAAAACGAAACCAAGAACCTCGGGGCCCAAACTGCTGCATCAAAACATTTTGTCTTGGGCACCGGCGGCTCCCGCCTGTCATCCCAGCTACTTGGAGGCTGAGATCTAAGGATCACGGTTCAAAGCCAGCCCAGGCAGCAAAGTCCGTGAGACTCTGATCTCCAATGAACCACCAGGAAACCAGAAGTGGCGCTGTGGCTCAAGGGGTAGAGCACCAGCCTTGGGCTGAAGAGCTGAGGGACAGCGCCCAGGCCCAGAGTTCAAGCCCCACAACTTAAGCTGTGCCTTAAGTGGTAGAGTGCCAGCTTTCAGAGAAAAAGCTCAGGGACAGCACCCAGACCTGTGTGCAAGCCCCAAGACCAGCACACACATGCACACACACACACACACACACACACACACACACTGCCAAGGAAGGCAGATTCTAAACACATAAACTAGCCACACTATGGCAAATAGAACTAGGTCCAAGTAAACATATATACTAAGCCAGGCACAGGCTCACGCCGTCATCCCAGAGACTCAGGAGGCTGAGACCTGAGGATCAGTTTCAAACCAGCCTGGGCAGCAAAGTCCATGAGACTCTGACCTCCAATCCACTACCCAAAGCAAAGCCAGAAATGGAGCTGTGTGGCTCAAGTGGTAGAGCACCAGCTTTAAGCAAAAGAAGTTTAAGGACAGCACCGGGGCCCTGAGTTCAAGGCCTAGGAACTGCACCGAAATAAAACATTAGGAAACACACACATACTGACTGCTCACCCCCCCTCGAGAACACCTTACCCACGCGGCCTCCTCTCTCTCCACGGCCCGTGGCCAGTCATCTAGCTGCCTGTTGGGGTTGTCCCTGTCTCCCGTGGGGGTGTCCTCCATCCACCTGTCCCCCACGGACTGTGGTGTCTAGATGCTGGTGGAGGGTGGGGGAGGGGAGGTATGTGGGACCCCTCCCCCCCGGGCAGGGGGGGCCGCTGGGACTCACGGCACAGTGTGGGCGTCCTCCAGGCCACCACCTGGCCCTGCTGGGCACAGGCGTGGGCGTAGGCAGCGATGGTGTCGCAGAAGCAGGCGCAGTCCCCCACCGACTCGCAGGAGCACGTGTCGTAAACGCAGACGTCCAGGTACGGCTCGGGGTCCACCTGAGAAAAGAGTCCCCCCACCCCGGGGGTTGGTGACCTCGGCCCTAGACACTGGAGGCCCGTGGCTCTTGGCCGGGTCAAGGTTCTGGTGGTCCATAGGAGAAAAACGACCTTCATATCCCTGAGAACGTACCAGGGGCGCATGCCTGTAATCCCGGCTACTCGGGAGGCTGAGATCTGAAGATTGTGGTGCGAAATCAGCCTGGGCAAGCAACTTCCAAAGGCTCTTATTTCTCCTTAACCAATAGACAAGCCGAAAGTGGAGGTGTGGCTCAAATGGTAGAGCACCCAGACATGAACAGAAAAGGCCAAACCAGAGTGTTGAGACCCATGGGCTGGGCAGGTGGCTCTGTGGTAGAGTGCTCGCCTAGCATGCATGAAGCCCGGGGTTCGATTCCTCAGTGCCACACACACAGATAAAGCCAGAAGTGGAGCTGTGATTCAAGGGGTAGAGCACCAACCTTGAGCAAAAGAAGCTCAGGGATAGCGCCCAGGCCCTGAGTTCAAGCCCCAGAACTGACAAAAAAACAAAACTAACTTTTTTTTCTTCTCTTTCTCAGTGACTCATCACAGCCTTCTCCGCTGTGGGAGGAAAGCTTCCACGTTACCAGGTGATAAGAAGGTGACAGGCACCAGGGAAGACTCAGGGCCCCAACACCCAGGTGACAGAGAGACGAGCATGGCTTCCTGCTTTCCATTTCCACCGGAATCCATAGGCATACTTAAAAATACCAGCAGGAGGCGGGGCAGGTGGCTCAGTGGTAGAGCGCTCGCCTAGCATGCATGAGGCCCTGGGTTCCATTCCTCAGTGCCACAGACACAGAAAAAGCTGGAAGTGATGCTGTGGCTTGCTTGGTAGAGCACCAGCCTTGAGTAAAAGCAGCTCAGGGACAGCACCCAGGCCGCAAGTTCAAGTCCCAGGACTGGCCATAAAACAAAAAGCAAAAGCTGGGATAAAGGACGGGTCGCTGAGGGGTTGTTTAGGTGGGGATTGGGGCAGGGGTGACTGTCAGGGCTCAGGTATGGAGACACAGATCGGGGACGGCGCTTGGCTTTGGAGCTGGGGGTGAGGTGACCCCAAGTTAGCACCACCGGGGACTGAGGCAGCCAGGCAGGGGAGCGGGTGTGTCTCAAATTCAAGACCAACGTGTGGCCAGGCCTGGCCTGTCCAGGAGCCCGGGCTGGGCGGGTGTGTCCCCCCCACCTCCCTCCCCACGCCCGCCCCCCCACACCCGCAGCCCTCACCAGCTGGTTGCAGGCGTGGAAGAGGTCACTGGTGAGAATCCTGCAGGAGGAATCGGCCACCGACTGCCTGTCCAGGTCACCGCCGCACAGCGTCGGGGCCATGCCCAGGGGGGCCTGTGAACCCAGGGGACAATGCGGTGGGCACATGGGGGGAGACGGGGCTGGGTCCCGGCACACACAGGCACGCGCACACCCACCTTGCGTGCGTCGGCGCACTGCGCGCTCACTTTCCAGGAGTTGCCAAAGTCCACAGGGTCCTCCTCCACCCGGAGGCTGCTGCTGGTGAGGTCGTTGTTCTGAACCCCGTCGAAATTCCCGCATAGACCACACACGCGCCCCTGCCACAGACCGGACGGACGCGTGAGCCCCGGACCCACGCCGCGCAGGGAGGAGGCAGAGAAGACGGAGGAGGAAGGGGAGGAGGGGGGAGGGGGAGGGGGAAGAAGGAAAGGAGGGGGTGGGGAGGGAAGAGGAGGAGAGGGAGAGGAGGGAGAGGGGGAGGAAGAGGAGGAGGGGTGGAGTAGGAAGAGGAGGGAAGGGGGAGGAAGGAGGGGGGAGGAAGAGGAGGATGGGATGGAGGGGGAGGAGAGGAGGGAGAGGAAGAGGAAGAGGAGGGCGAGGAGGGAAGGGAGAGGAGGAAGAAGGGGTGGAGAGGGAGGAGGGGTAGGAGGAAGGGTGGAGAGGAAGGAAGAGGAGGAGGGGGAGGAAGAAAGGGAAGATGAGGGAGGAGGAGGGGGAGCGGGAGGGGGAGGAAGAGGAGGGAGAGGAAGAGGAAGAGGAGGGGGAGGAAGAAGAGGGGGAGGGGGAGGGGGAGGAGGAGGGGGAGGAGGAGGAGGGCGGCCCATTTGGGAAAGATGGCTATGAATTCCCAGCTCTGTGTAGCAGGACAAAGGATGCAGGCATGCGCAGAGTTAGCTCTAGGAACAGCAGCAGTTCCTCCATTTGCCCTGCGCAGGCCCGTACGGTGGGCATCTGTGATCTGCCAGGCACTGGCTGGGCCCTGAGCCCCCCCCCACAAGACACCCCACAAATCTTCATCAAAGCCACTGCCTTGCTGGGTACCGGTGACTCCTGCCTGTCATCATCCCAGAGACTCCAGAGACTGAGATCTGAGGATCGAGAGTCAAAGCCAACTGGGGGACGGGAAGTCTGTGAGATTGTTATCTCCAATGAACTACTACCAAAAAATTAGAAGTGGAGCTCTGGCTCAAGTGGTAGAGCACCCGCTCTGAATTCAAGTGCCAGTACTGGTGCAAGCAAGGGATGGAAGAAAGGAGGGGAGGAAAGAAGGAAGGAGGGAGGGAGGGAAGGAGGGAGGGAGGGAAGGGAAGGAAGGCAGGCAAGCCACAAATTCCTAATACCAAATGCCTAACTTTTCTGGCCACTTTGCCTTTTGGCCAGCGTCCTGCAAAGTTCCAGTGTATGCGGAGCACAGAAGCAAGCAAGGGACCCCGAGGCGGAGAGCTGAACACACTGGACCTTCTCTTTTTCTGCAGCCAGAGCCTCCGGTCCACCCAGGAAGCAAAGCCAAGACAGCCCTGTCCTGCCCCCACCCCAGCCTCGCTCCCTCGATGCCCCTTAGACTGTCTTGGCCCAGGCTGGCTTTGAACCACAATCCTCAGCTCTCAGCCTCCTGAGCAGCTCGGATGGCAGGCGGGAGCCACGGGGCAACCTTGCTTGCTAAAGCCCTGTTGTCTGAGGACTCCAAGCCACACAGAGGAAGCACACACTCGGCCATCCTTTATTCCTGTCTGGCCTGGCACAGCATGGGAGAGCAGGAAACTGATTCCTATTTCCTCATCATTTGTGGGATTTATCGCTCCAGTCCTTGGTGCAGAGCGGCCCTGAGTGACATACTCTTTGGTTTCCTGTGTTTTTCTAGAAAGCTCTCCCTGGGCCATGCTTGGGTCTTGTTTATACAGATGGCGGCGGCAGGATCTGGCTCTAGAAGCTGCAGCGCAGCCCCAGCCCCAGACGGCTGCACTTGTCAAGATGAAGTTCCTGCCGGCCTGGGGGGGGGGGGCCGTGGTAATGAATGAGGCCCAGCTTCAGAAAGCTCAGAAAGCTCCCCGGCCGCCCCTCTGACCCTTCCCGCCTCTCCCAAAGCCAGCAACTGCAGGTAGAGCTCAGCGTGAGCCGGTGCCCCAACATGGCCAGGTCACGCCCAAGGTCAGGGTTACACTTCATTTCTTCATCTGCACCCCACCTCGGAGACGGGGGGGGGGAGAGAGACAGAGAGAGAGAGAGATCTGGGTGCCATTAGCTCCCGCCTGTCATCCCAGCTACTCAGGAGGTTGAGATCTGAGGCTCAAGGTTCAAAGCCAGCCCTAGGCAGGAAAGTCCATGAGACTCTGATCTCCAATAAATTACTCAGAAAAGGTACTGGTATAAAAAAGGAAGAAAGGAAGAGAGGGAAGGAAGGAGGGAGAAAGAGAGGGATGGAGGGAGGAAGGGGGGGAGGGAGGGAGGAAGAAAGGAGGGAAGGAAGGAAGGAAGGAAGGAAGGGAAGGAAGGAGGGAGGGAGGGAAGGAGGGAGAGAGGAAGGAAGGAGGGAAGGAAAGGAAGAAGGAGGAAGGGGAGGAAGGGAAGGAAGGGAGGGAGGGAGAGAAGATGGGAGGGAGGGAAGGAGAGAAAAGGAGGAAGGAAAGAAGGAGGAAAGGAGGGAGGAAGGGAGGAAGGGAAGGAAGAAAGGGAATGAGGAAGGAAGGAAAGGAGAGAGGGAAGAAGAGAGGGAAGAAAGGAGGGAGGGAGGGAGGAGGTGGGGTCAGCAATAGCTGGGGAAGAAGCAGTCTAGTCATCTCTTTTGTGGGATTGGAACTGGGCACCTGATGCTTTCACTCTTTGGGCCTCTTCCCTTAAAAGAAGAAACATCTGGAAAGTTCTGAAGGGACTGGCTGAGGAGGAGCACCCCAGGGCCCGGGCCGCGGTGCTGTGGGGAGCCAGGCGCCCGGGCGCGGAGTAGTGGCTGGTGCAGCCGGGGGCCGGGACCGGGGCGGGTACCAGGTCTGGCAGCGAGCAGGGTCCTCGGGGTTCAAGGTGACCTTCCTCCCAGGCGCCAGACGCCGGCCCGACACCTCGCACACCGGGCAGTCGCGGGGCTCCACGCAGGTCTGCAGGAGTTCGTCCAGGACCCTCCCTGTGAAACGCGGCTCTCCTTAGCACCTGACCCAAGCCTCCACACAAAGAAGGCCTGGCATGTCACCGGCCCGGCCTCCACCCCACCCCCCACAGCCTCCTTCCCCCGCCTCCTTCTCCCTGGCCTCTTTCCTCCCGGCCTCCCGCCATGGCCCTCTCCCCCCAGCCTCCTTCCCCCGGCCTCCTCCCCCCAGCCTCTTTTCTCCCAGCCTCCTGCCCCAGCCTCCTGCCCCTGGCCTCCTCCCCCCAGCCTCCTTCCTGTCCTGTGCCCCCACTATTGTTTCCTGTGAGGCTGGGAGGGAGCGGGAGGCGGTTCCTTCTGCTGCCCTCTCCCCCAGCTCTAGGACTCACTAAATCTCATCTCCAAGGGCCACCTGTGGCTATTTAAATCTCAGTGAACCAGCGAGGCGGCTCCCGCCTGTCATCCCAGCCACTCAGGAGGCTGAGATCTGAGGATCGGGCTTCAAAGCCAGCCCAGGCAGGAAAGTCTGTGAGACTCTGATCTCCAATGAACCACCAGAAAACCAGAAGTGGTAGAGCACCAGCCTTGAGTGAAAAAGCATAAGGAAAGCACCCAGGCCCTGAGTTCAACAAAAAATATTTTTTTTTCCAATGAACCAAATTTCAGACTCTGATAGTTTCAATCCCAGATGCCTTAGGTCCCACTGCGTGCACAGAACACCTCGTCGATGGCAGGCAGAGAGGAAGATTAGAAAGAGGCCCGACCCCAACGGGGGAGACTGAGGCAGGAGGAGCTCAGGGCCAGCCTGGGCCACAGAACAAGACCTTGTGCAAGAGTCAGGAACAGGGAAGGAAGGGAAAGAGGAAGGGAAGGAAGAAGGGAGGAAGGGAAGGAGGGAGGGGAGGGGGGAGAGAGAGAGGGAAAGAGGAAGAAGGGTGGAAAAAAGAAGAGGGAGAAAAGGAAGGAGGGGAAGGAGAGAGAGGAGAAAGGGAAGAAGGGAGTCATGGGAGAGGGAGGGAAGGAGGGAG